TCTCATGAAACATTTGTATCAAATAACAGTATTTCTTTTAAATATAAATGGTAAAACACATGAGAAATACAGCTTTTAGAGTATTGAAGTATAGATCCTGGATGTAGAACTTCCTCTCCAGACTGTAGGAGTAAGAATTCTTAATTTATCACTCATTCTTAAAGATAACACAAGCGTTAAGTGGCTGCAATTATACACAGAAGTACTTACCTAAAAAATGCAAAAGTCCACATCTGGTAGTTATCTTGATAGCGCCTCTTAAAGCAATTTAATCTGGATTTTAAACTAGCACCGTGTTTGCATTAAGCAGAATGTCATTCTACATTGATTCAACAGTCAAATAAAAAAATACAGTGTTCACCCAGATGTCGTTACTTGTACATCTTGCTATAATAAACACGTCGGGAAAGTGTCTGCAAACATCGTATAGATCGCAGGCTTCATCAGAGACCAGCGTCTCTGCGTCTGTAATGTCACTGAGGTTCCAGGTTACAGTTTGATGGCCAGGAGGCAGCGTCACGTTAAATCCAGGTCTCTACAATAACATCATTTTTCCATTGTAATTCTGTTCATGGTTTGTCCTCTGAGTTCTCACAACATACTTTTTAAAATTGTGACTGGGTGATGAACCACTAGGACACAGAGGTGAGATGTCAAGTTCAAATTAATTATCTTCAGTCATTTTTTTAACCTAAGCACTCTAGTGTCTTTTCCTATTAGGAGCACTGTGGCTCCTTTTTGAATGGCGTGGGCTGGTGCGGCGAGTCATCCCACATGGCAGTGTTGTGATCTGGCATCCCGCAGTGTTCTGTCTTTTACTATTCAACACAAATACATGAAGCAAAACAGCAACAGTTTCCACAAACTCACAGTTGTAACCACTAACATTGGAGGAATAGTTTGGCAGTGCTAATTCATGAGAAAACATTAATTCAAGTCTCGGCAGGATGTTTTGCTTTCAGCGTTGCTGACCAGTAACGTCTCTGGAGATTTGTGCTGCGGATATTTTGTGATATGATGTAAACAAAAAAACAAAACAAAAAACATCACAACGTCATGTGTCACATTATTTGAAAGCTGCACCGTCACTTCATACAAAGCAAAAGACCCATTACAGAAATCAACATCTAACCATTTTAATGCACAGTTGTTGAAACCAATGCACACTATATGAAAACAGGTCATTTGAACTTAGTTAGGCAGGTGAAATAGACAATTAAAAAGCTGCTTTAAAATACTGTAATGCACACACAAAAAAAAATCCATGACATCATTTCACATGTACGTTTCTCATATGAGGTTCATGACACATCTCCATAGGCTAGAATGTCCAATAGTCTATGGCACAGCACTTGCAGGTCATCAAAAACATGTAAAGCATAACTGAAATCCACAATTTTGCAGTTTTTCTTTATTTTTTCTCTCGTATCTAAAAAGGCTCTGAATGTAATGCAATGGGAAAGAGAGATTCAGAGTTTAAGAGAGGTGAAGGCTTAGAAGTCTTTTACTCGCTAAGCCCATTTCTTTCAGGACACACACACCTCAGGCTGAGCTGTGCTGAGCTTACTACTACTACCACCGCTACCGGCTGCAGAAACTTCGGCCGCCGGCGCCGACCCGCTGTCGGACCTTTCCGGGGCCGAAGCCTGGCCAGCCACGGTCCTTCTGAAGAGACGCATGCTCATCTGCAGCAGCTCGTTGTCTACTACAGGCGTAGTGGGGTAGTGCTTAGTTAGGCCCTGAGGGAGAAAACAAGATCAAGAGATTTAAGAGTGTCTATTTTGAGAAAATGGCAACGATCAACACAGAAAAGGGCAAAACTGAATTAATTTATCTACCTTGTCATTTTTTAACAGCTGCCGACGGATGGCAAAGTCTCTGCGGGCACACAGGGCCTTACAGCAGGGCCCAAGGTTAGTCAGTAAACCGGCCCGCTCCACCCGCCTGTTCAGGGCCGCCATGTTCAAGGCCCCAAGGTCATGCTCAAACAGCTTGTCGGCATCTGGAAGGATGGAGGTGAACGCAAGTTTTAGGCAAATGGTTCACACAAAAGAAACAACATTATCCCAATTCTAAACTGTAATAAAAATGCAGAGTTTTGCAGATTTGAAACATGTAATTATGTTGTAAAGTTATGGTTCAACAGTGTACTAACTCTCACCTTTAGGGTCGTCCATCTCAGACTTGCACACCTCTTTGACTTGCTCCAGGAGCTTCGGCCCCGCGAGTCGCTTGGAGATGCCTGTCCTAAGAAGCACGGCCCCCGGGGTGAATCGGAGCAACGCTGCCCCTGCTGCCCGGGGTTCCTGCTTCTGTTTGGGCATGAGGCTCGACCAGTCCACATCAATCACATCCAGAGGACCTGTCGGGTTGTAGAAATGGTTTAATTTCCCAAGATAGATCTGTTCTGTTTTACTGTCTTGTATTTTGTATTGTATTATTTACACAATATTTCAATTCAGATATTTTCCATAGTGAAGGTATTTCCTATTACCTGTAATTTTTTCATCGTCCTGCTGATCCTCTTTTTTCTGACTATCAGCCAGAATTTCATCCAGCTCGTCATCACTGATTGGCTCATACTCCTCGCCAACAGATGGCACTGACTGGCCATCCTCTTCTTTACCGGCCTCATCTCCTGAGAACACAGCACACACAGATTCCTTTAGACCCATGCTGGAAAATGGGAAAAAGTTGACACTGACATGCTTGAATCCTCTTACCGTCGATGCTGTCTGCCTTCTCCAGCTCACGTTCCCGTTGCTCTCCCATGAGATGGTGACTGTTGCTCGCTTTCTCGGGCTCAGGAGGGCTGAAGGCTTCTCTTGGTAAAAGAGGCTCATAGTCACCCCTGTCCTGCCGCATCATGTCCCCTCGCAAGTCTCCTCTCATTTCTCCCCTCAGGTCCCCTCGTCCTACAGACCTGAGGTCCCCGTGGGGCGGCAGGTCCATCATCATCATCCTCTCTCTATCACCACCCCTTTCACCTCTACTGTCTCTCTCCCTCTCTCGCTCCCTTTCCCGCTCATGCTGCTGGATGAGTCCTTCAGGGAGCAAGCGTTCCCTGTCCCTGATGTCACGCTCCCTCAAGAGAGGTTCGCGGCTGGGACGCATGAGCAGGGGCTCTCGTCCCCTGCTGGGCCAGTCCCTTGGTTCTGGCTCCCAGTCTCGTTGTGGTTGGAGGGGCTGCTGGAGGAGCAGGGGCGGCTGCTGCTGCTGCTGCTGCTGTTGCTGCGGCTGCTGCGGCTGAGGCCGGAGGTCCTTTCTGTCTCGTTCCCGCTCGAACGGCTCCCTGTCTCTCTCTCGCTCTCTGCTGTCGTAGGAGCCGGCGCGGGACCTGGATCTGGTCTGTCTCTCGGAGTCAGGAGAGCTGCGTCTG